AATCTAATTGTTCACAGGATTTTCTGCCTTTGTTTCTTCATAATGCTTCCAGACGTGAGCTTACGCGTTCTCATCGAGGGTGGTATCGACAGGCGGACGACATTCTGCAGGAAGGAAAGTGCACGGATTTTGTCACCATTCAAACGACTGACATATACAGTACATATTATATCATACTGATTATTATTTAATATATATATATTAATGTTTGACTGTGAAGTAGTAATGTGTTTTTGATACCTCAATCCTCCTTTTGCATCAAATCCACCTGGGATGTTTGCTTAAATTGATTCAATTGCCCGACCTCGAACCAGCCGCTGCTGAAGGTAGTTCAGGTTTAGGGTTTATTGAAAGGCTCAAGTCAAAAACAGCTGCCACTCCACCTCCTCGGTTTGTGAAGGAATATGAGTATTAGACATTTTATATATTGACATATTCTACATTCGACAGCCACGTTTTAGTAAGACAAAATTTATCAATATGATTACCTGATCTTATTGATATTAATTAATTTACTAAAACAACTTTAGATGACAGAAATCTAATGTTTAGGAATCCACGTTTAATTATCTAGCTTTAAGTTATTTTGTTGAACTGCTCGACTGTCACCTTGGATTTAAATAACTTTAAAATGTTTTGGGTGGGCCTGCAGAGAAGTGTGTAAAACTGTGACCCTGCTTCCTGATCCGATCTCTGGGTGGCCATGGATACGCTCCACAAAGAAACTGCATCAGATCCTTTGAAGTGCGATGGATGCCGTCCTAATCAGACCAAAACATCTTCCAGTGATCAACGAAGCCCACATTATTTACTGGGCACCACCTCGACAACCAGCGGCGGAAGGACGACATGCATGTCGCCATTGTTTTAGCGTGTGTACACACCGACTCCATGTTAACTTTACAGTCTCAACGCCCCCCAGGGGATCTGCCTAGCGGTAACCGGTTAGGTGGTCTTGAGTTACTGAGAAGATCATGTGAACTGGGACCAGTCCGACTTCTCTGTAAATACGACACCAGTGGTCACAACTTGTGCGTCAACAGGCGGGTCGACGTGGCGCAGAGGTAGAGAGGGTGCGCTGGGAACCACAAGGTTGGCGGTTAGAGACCCGGCGGCTCCATGTCCCATATCGAAGTGTCCCTGAGCAAGACACCTAACCCCTTATTGCTCCCCGGGCAAACATGCAAAAAGCCCCGGGTTATAAACGCAATGAAAGTCGCTTTGGATGAAAGCGTCAGCTAAATGACCTGTAATGTCATTTAGCTGACGCATGTTGCCTTCAAGTCAGTGAACGTACTACGAGAAAGAAAACGTTTCAAGTTCATATTGCAATCGGCTCTAAATTCTTTCCCCAGTCGGTGCGAGGACACTGAAAAGAGTTTTCATGAGATTGTGTGTGATTTGTTCCAGAACACGACCCAGTTTAAGAGTTGCTTTTGTTTTAAACAACAACAAGAACACACGTGAGTCCAGCAGGCCTATGCAGCATATCTTCTCCTTTTACTGTATCAAATCTCTTATTTATTTATACTTTTGTTGTTTCAGAAAATCGGAACAATGTATCAAAAAGGTGAGCAGTTGGTAAAGTGAGCTACTGATGGATAAGGTAACAAAACCCATGGGTAAAAATCCCATTATAGATCAAAATAATTAGAAATATCAATTATACAATTGGGAATGATTCGCATCGATGGCCATTGATGTAAATTCACTGAATCACGGTTATGTATAATGTTTATGTGATACTAGAGAGACCATAGCTGAAACAAGTCATGAGCTTTTTACCCACACAACAATATGTCATATGATGTTTCATCTGATTTCAGCTGACATGAGAAACTTATGAACATGAAATCAAAACGCTGCTCCCGGAAGGTTTATCCCGTTTTCAGGCCCGAACCAGGATTAACCCTAAAATCACGAGGCTTGCCTTTGTGCATGCTTCAACTTGGTGTGAAATATAATGGACACGCCGAGGCTGAGTGGTTTTCGCTGATATTTATCAAAAAATACTGTATATGTCACAAGATACTAATTCCAATGTGCTTTGATGGGCCCTCAAGTGTTCTAGTTATGTAGTTTGTCCTCCTAAGCTAAAATAGTAGTAAAAATACAAAAATACATATTGATCTCTGCAATATAAAAAGCAAATACATGGCAAGAAGATCAATTTGATTTTATGCCAATTCTGCATTGCTAAAAGCTAAAACAGTGTGTTTGATATATACATCAGTAGCAGCTAATTAGAACTGAACTGCAGCTTAAAAGTATGTATGGCACAAATTAAAACATTTGACCTGATGAAGTTGACCTCATGGTGGTCATTTATGAGATTGTCTGTGTTTGTATAACCGTCCCTCGAGCATGGCTTGAAAACAAACAATGCCTTATTTTATAATTCATACCATTTTGTTAAAATATGTTGTTTCAGCATGAATAATATGCTTTTTTTTAAACATTGAAAACAAACTTCCTCCATCCATTGTCCATTTTCTTTATACCAACAGTATTTTATTATAAGCAAATGATCAAAATAACTGCAGCAGCCCGGAGCTGTTTTCTCCGATAACAAAGAATACTTGAGGCATTTTTTTTAAAGAAAATTGTACTTTGGATTTTTGCTAAATTCAGGAGTCACACAGGGAACAGCTGGGTGCTGCATTTAGTCAGCGTAGGAAAGAGCTGAAAGGAGAGTGAATATTTGACAGAAACATGGCTGGTCACAAATAACACCAATGTTGCCTCTTTGTCGGCTGGATGTGTATCTTGGCAACTGTTGGCATTATAGAAATTATGAGCTAGCCCCCTAAAAGGGTTTTTGATTGCCAAAATAGTGGTGTGTGTCCATCTCCAACAAGGACAACGTGTTGGTATAACAGTGGTGATATAAACTGAAACTGAAACTGAACAACATTGAGGAACATTTTATTCAAAAGAGGTAGAAACATGAGACTCAGACTCAGAGATTTGTGATGAATCGCTGCCTGAATGACCAACACAGCAATAATGAGTAAAACTGCCTTCTCAAACTCCACTCTCACATTTTATAGGCTGCCACTCCACTAATCAATTTTCACATTGTGCAGATTATTCTTACTGTGTGACTGGTTTGGAGTGTGACAGCAAGACAGTGGGTGTATTTTCTGCCATTACGCCAGAAGGAAAATAAAGTCCATTTATAGATAGTTCAATAAGTTGAGCTCCCAAATGTGTATATTTGAAAATATATGAAAACAATCATATTTGTTTCAGGGATGAGTTTTATAGAGGCTGCCACAGGTTTTCTAGTTATTTGGATAATGAAACAGATTTCGTGGTCTCCCTGGGGACGTACAAGGCTGGACCCTCACATCAGTACAGGACTTAACTTCTTCAACTCCGTCCTGCACACGTCCACGTGCATTCCTTTCTCGCTGCATCGCATCCCTCCCGCCTCACAAGTTCCTCTTTACAGCTGTGTATTTACACTCTGCCTGCTAGAACACAATTCTGTTACTACATGTACTAAATGCTACATTTTCCCCTTAAGTCTCTTTGATGCTTGTTATTGTTACTTTTAGTATAAATTGGTTTATACTTCCAAGTATATTGGTTGTTGTTTATGGAACCCTTTTTTACAAATCCAGTAGAGACGTAGCTAAATGTATTAGAATAATTTCCGTTACTACAAGCAACACCTTTCCGATTAGACAGAGTTAATTCCTCCACTGTCAATGGATGCTTTAGATAAGTCAGAGAAAGAGAGAACGTTTGTTTTCTGCTGTATTTAGAGCGGGATGTTGGTGTTCTGGAGCTGCATTGTCTCAGCACTATAGCTGTTAACAGGAGCATTCTTGTCCTGGATGCTGATAAAGTCATGTAAAAACGAATATAAATAACCTGGTTGCTCATGTTACGTACAAACATTAAATGTCTAAAAGGATGTTGTAGTCGTAGATAAAATTTCACATCTGTAAGACTTGATTTGAAACCAGATCGCCCTCTGCTGGTTTAAAAGATGTACTGCATAGGACTCGCTTCATATAGTGTATGATTATTGTTACTGCACAAACTTCTGAGGTTAAATTATCCACAAAGCTGTGAGCGCCAAGCAACCGGCATTATAGCTTTGGCATTATTTTATGTCGTTGAATGAAACCGACAATTGTTAAAACAGTTAAAACGTGTGTGTCAAAGTATGTCCCCGGTGGTGAAGGTCGCTTGCAGCACCAGGGCCACGCTGAGAAGAAGCAGGGGAAATTGACTTCGCGCTAGGCAGCTTGGGAAATGAATTTCTTGCACCTCCCCGCTGCGTTTCACGTGATGACAATTGAGAACTACATTTCCCATGACCCTCTGCGCAGTCAGTGTTACATGCTGCTCTCCACGCAGTGTGCTGTAGCCATAAATGTGGTCTTTGAATGACACACAATCAGGGGACGTTCGCATGGCCCTCAGCATAAAGTGGCACGGATTTGAATTAAATCCTACACGCAACATTCAACGTAAGTGTGGACGGCTTTCTATCATTTGCTTGAGTATGTTAGACTTATATAATGACTTTGTGTTCCTTCTTAGCAGCGCTGCTAGCTACAGCTAAAAGCTAGCGTTAACTAGCTAGAGTCGGGCGTCAGAAGCCAAAGTTGGCAGCAGTTGGAATCTGGCCTTAACAAGGCCACCTGCTACTCTGTCGAAAGAGGAAGTCTGCTTCACGACAAATAAGCCGCTTTTCTTCTCCCTCTGGAAAGTTCTTAGCAAACTAAGAACCAAGAGCTTACATGCCCTCCAAAAAATACCAAATGTCTAATGTCAGCTATAGCCTAAAATAGATACACATGTAAAGCTAGCATCAGTTTAACTGTAGACTTCCGGTCAAAACTTTAACAATAAGCCATAATAAATCCCCTTCGTCTTTTTATCTTTGATTGCTTTTATTGTGAAGTCAACATCACAACTTCCGGTCGTGTTGTGTCGCTTTCGCACTGCTCCAGCAGTATTTTTGCTAACGTTAGCCGCTACGAGGTTCGAGTTTTCGTAACGGGAAAGGAAACGTCGTCTTCTCGATTCGTAACGTCACCTTTTACAACGTAGTCTTGGTTAATGTTACAATTCTGAGACCGACATGCTTGTACTATGTTTATGAAACCGCACGTGAAGTCAGATAGAGGGGGTCACTGTGTATTCACGATAACTAACGTTAGGTGGGTTCACCTGTAGTCTGTTCCATAACCTGTGTTATCAATTAATGTAACGCAGATGACGTAACTAAAGCATGACGGAACGTAACTTGGGCAATGGGCTCACACTCTCTTTATCAGCGTAGCATTGCTGCTTCACGGTGACATTGATGGAGTTCACTCTTTCTAGAACAATATTCCTTTAATCTAAAGTATCAAAGACGTTCATTTATTATAGTGGAAAAGGAAAGAACTGTTGGTCTTGAAAGTATTTAGTCTGCAGTTTTAGAAATGGTCATGGCTCCTAAATAGTCAGGTTTGAATAAAGGAACACGGTTGAACTGTGTTAAGATGTCACTGTCTGCAGAATGAATAGAAAACACACCTTTCGAATGCTGTTCACACAAAGTTGTCTACATGTTAATGGATTACAATGCTCCTGTAGTTATGTTGTGATTCAGACAACCGTATGCAGGCATTTCTAATATATTTTAAAGGCGGATCTTGATTTTTATGTACATTTTCTAGCAGGAATGTAAACTGCAATTTTTGTTTTCAATGTTATGCAGGTAATGTCACAGTAGGCGTTAAGCGGCACATTTCAGTACTATATTTGGATTCTCATTTTTGGCAAAAAATATCCTGCTTCTCAAATCAATATTTTCTGGTTTTCTTAGTCTTTCATGTTAACCTATAATATTTTACTGTGGAGCCTAGAGCTTGTTGTAATGAACGTGGGTCCTTACTAATTAATAATGGTATGAGTCATTTCTCAATGCAGTATTGGACGATTAGTTGATCATTCAAATTGTTGAATGTCCAACTAATTTGGAGGGAGGAACGTTGTTCGCGGCGGCACCAAACGTAAGAATGATCGAGTTAATGGAACGTCGTACTTTGCCTCGTCCCACAGCCTGTGGTTGAAGGTCCCAGCAGCAGAGAAGAGGAGGGGGACAATGCAGCGCATCCTAAACCTCGGGACACTGCGGCGTTTGGCAGCAGCGCGGCCGTCACTGGTGGCCCTCGCCGTCCCAGAACCACCAGCCGCCTTCTGTTGCTGTGTCCTCCGCCTGGCAACGCCAGCCCCCACAGGGCGGAGCCGGCTGTCAACCACAGCCTCCAGCAATGTGGCCCAGCAGCCAAAACACCAGGAACCGCAGTCCGGCGCCGCACCTCCAACCCAGGAGGTCCAGAAAGAGGATGCAGGGTTTGATGCCTTGGAGGTGGACCCCCTGCAGGACAAGTCCATCGGTTTGGTCCAGCGGTTTAAGAGGACCTTCAAACAGTATGGGAAGGTGATGATCCCTGTACATCTCCTGACGTCCTCGGTCTGGTTTGGAACCTTCTATTATGCTGCTATGAAGTGAGTGGTTTTGAGTTGATTGCTTTCCTTTATAGATTAGACTTATTGTTGCTTTGGCTAAAAGCGTCAGCAAAATGCTGACTGCAAATGTTAGATCACTTATCATACTAAAATAGATTTATTGTTTTATAGGACTAACCGTATTTTATCCGCTGTGCAATTATAACCCCAACTACCTTGATGTTTGTGTTCTTCTTCCAGAGGCGTGAACGTAGTACCCTTCCTGGAGTTTATAGGTATGCCAGAGTCATTCGTCAGCCTTTTGAGAAACTCTTCGAGTGGCTACGCTCTGACTGCGTACGCCATGTACAAGGTAATTTAATCCACAATCAACTGGATTCACAGGGTTTTTTTCCAGCATCAAAGTATCGTTTCAATAAAACATTCATACTGGAAATTGTTCTGACCCTTATCTAACTTAGATTAGCATGAGTCTCTCATCCTGCTAAAAGCAGATAAATTGTACCCAATAAGTTATTTGTGAGTGATGGATTCAGGCGCTTTGCTCTGCTGACCAGCAGGTGTTTTTTTTCCATTTTGTTTCTTTACAGATTGCAACCCCTGCTAGATATACAGCGACCCTGGGCGGCACGTCACTATCTGTCCAGTATCTGCGCAAGCACGGCTACTTGTCCACCCCGCCGCCGGTCAAAGAATACATCCAGGACAGGATGGAGGAGACAAAGGAGAGGTTTTCAGAGAGAATGGAGGAAACTAAAGAACTCTTCTCCGAGAAAATGGAAGAGACGAAGGACAAGCTCTCTGAGAAACTGCAGGGAACCAAAGACCGAGTCACAGAGGGGAAAGCGTATTTTAGGAAGAAAAAGGAGTAGAGAAATGTGGGGCCTCTGACTAAATTACCTTATTTTGATCTCAACAAGTAATCAGTGTGTTTGAGGCAAGTAAAAGACAGCACTTGTAAGGCTTTTCTGAAAGAAGAGCCGCTTTGTACTACCCTGGTCCTAAGATGTCTCCTTGCACTTCTCAATTGTCCACTGTTGTCAATTTTGTGTTTCAAATTCAGTTGGTAATCGTGCACGTTGGTGGGACAATTACTGAGTGTAGACTAGACGGCAGCTCGGCAGACTCCTGGCAATGGGTTCAAAGAAGATGTATTCTTATTCCTCTTCACGTAAACACGCCAGCTTCAAAGAGTTAAAAAGAATAATGGCAAACTACATGGGGGAGAGCAGCACTAATTCTGCTGCTTGTTGGGAAAATAAAGCTTAAAGCTCATAATCACCTGTGTGAGCCTTTGTGAAATGCTCGATATCATTGCTTCTCTTTTCTAATATAATGACCAGGAAATACCTGTTTTATAATGTATTTTTATCCTAAAGCTCGAGCAAATATATTTCATTATCTGTGTGTACATGTAAGCGCACAGCACCAGTAGGCCACTGCGAACACCAACGTGTCTGGTGCCGGTGTTCTAAATGCACCAAATGCTTGTCACTATTCAAGCAGCTGGCTGGTGAAATCACGACTGAATAAAGTGAAATACTAATCCTCCCTGTTTGTCCTGGCATGCAAAGGTTTGAGTGTTGCAACTCGTGACACAGACCCGTTGTCCCATTTGACAATGAATATAGTCGAGTCTTGTTGAGCTATCGAGGTGTACGTGCTGATATCACAGCCACTGAATATCTTGACAGAGAAGCAGATATGGAGCAGCCCATAACGCAGAAAGACAAATGGGGTTTTAAGTTCTGCCCCCATGTGGCTGAATAAGTCACTGCAGCCAAGTCAAAGTATTCTCTGAAATGCTGCCTTTAAATACTCAACATCAATTTGGATTATTATTTTAGAGCTGTTTAACGTAAGGTTAGTTATAACTGCATCATACCTAAACTAATTAACCCCCGCTTGACCTTTCCATTCTACCAACACCATAACTGTTAAATAAGTGAAGTTGTGATCATGACATAACGCCCCTGGGCAAAGATGCCACTAAAGCCCCAATAGAAAGGGGCCGTGCCAGGTGACCTCACTTGTGTTGCCTTCTATAATGACTTTCTACATATGCTACATAAAATCTAGAGGGATATCCTTCTTTCCTGTGACGGCCTCAAAGTAAACGTGTGGGTGGTTAGAATGACATCACAATTACTGCACTGGTCTGCACAGAAATCTGATGTGATTCTCCCTTCTACTTTCATGTCATGTGCATGAGGGTCCCCAAATGTTTTACATTAATGTATATTTAGTACAAGACAACAAAAATACCCCAAATGCTGTGCATACTTTTCACTGTGCTAGAGGGTCGAGGTCACGTGCGCCCCGGGGTGCTTCTTAGCTGTCCGGATATGCTAAACGGATCTGAACCTCCTGCTGCCAAACGCACATTATGAATCTTATCTAAATGTAAAAATGCGAGTATTGCTTGGCGGAACATCATGTGTGTGAGTTACAATGTCCTCTGCTGTCCAAACTAATGAACAACTGTTTATGCAGTCAACAGCCCCTTCACACAAACACCTGTCCGTCCTCCCACTGGGAGTAAGACACGGAGGACAGCGTGGAGTCTAAAGACAATCTGTGTTCCTCAGGTGTGAGTCATTGGCTGAACACAACTCAAGTGTCAAGAAGCTTCTGGAAATCCTGAGGTGAAACACATGTCCAGAGGAAAAAAATTGTTGAAAGTCAGAGAGTTTCTCTTCTTGACACTTACAAAAGGCCACTGGAATCATCTTTGGTGCAGCCAGCAGACTGCGTGCACATTAGAAAGTTGTCACGGTCACATTTGTTGAACTCCTTGAGTTGGACACGTTGGAAACCTGCAGTCTCACTTAGTCCCGATGGACCTCAGCCTCCTGCCAGATGGAAGGGGCACAAACAGGTTTTGTCCGGGGTGGGAGGGGTCGGCCACGATCTTTTTACCACGCTTCAGAGACCTGGAAGCGAACAAGTCCTGCAGGGACGGCAGATTGCAGCCGATCAGCCTCTCTGCAGAGCGGATGACGCGCTGCAGCCTGCCCTTGTCCTTGGCTGTGGCTGCAGCGTACCAGACGGTGATGGAGGAGCAGAGGATGGACTCGATGGTGGCCGTGTAGAAGAGCACCATCATCGTCTTTGGCAGGTTGAAGTTCTTCAGCTGCCTCAGGAAGAACAACCTCTGCTGAGCCTTCTTGGTGATGGAGCTGATGTTCAGCTCCCACTTGAGGTCCTGGGTGATGATGGAGCCCAGAAAACGGAAGGAACACAGGGTGATGGGGGAGGATGGGGCTCTGTTCTTGGTGAAATCCACAACCATCTCCACAGAGGTCAGGGCGACGGGCCTGTAGTCATTGAGTCCTGTGACCAGCAGGTTCAGGAACAGCTTCCTCCCTGCCGCTGTCACCCTGCTGAACTCCCCAGTCCCCCCCCACAGCTCTACAATGACCCATGACCTTCCAGCCACTGAACATTCTGCACTTCAATTATGCCGTATTTGCACAACTATGCTACATTTGCACTACCTTGTCATTCATATTTACAACCCTGCTGCGTAATGTATATACTGCTCCATGTATATTTCACACTGTACATGTATTTATATATACTCTGCACTTTATCTGCTCTCCTGCCCTTTATGGTTGCATGTTAAACTGCGTTTCGTTGTCTCAGTACCCGTCCTTGGGTCAGCAGCATTACACGGGCCCAGTGCTCGGTCCACCTCTGGAGGTGTACCAAATTCATGTTTTTTAAATTCCTTTTAAACCCTGCTTGAGTTGCTCTAGTTATGAGAAGTACCCTTGCATACGAAAAGTATGTGTATAACATTGCTTAGCCTGGCACTATTTTACTCCTTATAGCGTTTTGAAGAGGTTCACGAGAAGGCGAGCTCCCTCTCGCTCGCTCAGGATGGGAGGTCAGAGGTTAGGGTTACTCTAACCTCTGACCTCCCATCCTTTAGTGAGTTAGTTTTCACCCATATTCACTTATCACATTGGATTCATTCTATCCTTCTGTGCCCACCCGGGGAAAAGTTTTCCCTTGAGAACGGCAGTAGAAATAGTTTTGGATCATAAAACAGTGTCGGCAACACGCTGATGCGGCGACATGTGGCAGCTACATCACCTGGACTCATTGTGTTTAGGATGGAGTTTGTTTCAGTGGTAAAGCACGTTGGGAGCACTTCTACTTCCCTGTCAACTGCATCAGAGCCGAAACCTCATTACCCACAGAAGACGGGGGGGGGGAAAAAACACCCGAGTCATCACTTTTAAAGTTTTATTCATTACACTGCAGTTTGACTACAGCATAAGTACAAGCATAAAATCTTTGACTACAACAGCACTTAGAGCAACAATTTTGGATTTTTTTTTCTAGTCTTTTCTGTAAAAGTATGGCAATAACAGACCTTAGGCCTAAAACCTATTACATCACAATTGCTTAAATAAAAAGAGGCAAAAGATACACAACAATTTTACCTCTATGTTTTGGACACACATATCTACATATATTTATATATAGATATGTATTTCAGCACAGAGGGGAGAGGAGTTTTGGATGATACAAAACCCATGATGGAAGCAGTCCTATGGTAACCGTGGAGACGGAGACAATACCAAACTGTTGAGTTGTTATTATTCTCATTACTATCAAAATATGCAACGATAAAAACAGCTACTTGTGGTCAGCAGTTGAGTACAGACTTCTGAGAAGTGGAGAGAGCGCGGCGGGCGGCGGGAGGAGGGGGGGGGGGGTCCGAAAAATGCTAGCTAGTGCAGGAAACTAAGACAAAAAATAAAAAGGTCTTTAAGGAGGGCCGAGCGGCGCTGCAGCCAGAGTTACGATATAAGAGACTATTTTCCAAATCAAAACTGCACGACTGCAACATATTTGGTGCTTGAAGAGGAAAACGTACACAGTCTACAGAGAAGAACGAACATGCTCTGTGGTTATCGTAGTTATTCTCCGTACATACTGTAAATAAACGACTGCAGGTTAAACGTGACGTTCGTTTCAATATATTGAGCCACACATAACATTTGTAATGTAGAAAATAAAAATAACAATAATAGTAATAATAAGAGGAAAGTAATATGACAGATTGAACAGATTTTTTTTCTTCTCACACGTCAGCGGTGCTCTTCAACTTTGGCAGATATACAAAATTACTGCTGAATAGTAACTTAAAAAAAAAGGTTGTTAGATCTAAGAGTGCGGACACAAGCTCCTTCCGTATCGGGAAGCTCCGACGGGCCCTCGTGTGCAGTGGTCATGTGATACGCACCCCCCCCCCCCCACTAGTAGAAAATCAAAGCGGGCCGGCTGAAGTCGTGGCATTGAACAGCAACTGACCAGTGCTTGCTTTTCCCCGCTTTCCTTTAAAAGATTGTGGCGTAGAACTTTACATTTGTTAGTCGGTTGGGCTGAAAAAGAAAAACCACCAGCCGGTATCCAAATGACAGCGAGCGCTGCGAAAAGCTTGTTGTCTGAGGAGGAATTCCCATAAACAAGTGAATAATATCCTTTCACGACCCCTCGCTTAATACAGAGGTTATTTCATTCTTATCACGGACTATTATTGATAGCAAAATATCATAAGTAGTAATTTGTATTTGCGTTGCAACCATATTTTAAGCATACTTTGCAAACCAGGTTCTCATAAAAAAGGAAAAAGACAAAGCAAGTTATTTTTTTTCAACTGTAGGCATTTACAAATTTGATTCTGCCTTCTTAAAATTCTTATATTGTCTATACATTATATTACAATATTCACAACATCTTTTTTGTGTGTGGTTTCTACCCATTGGGCAGGATATGTGCATAATATATTCAAGTTATATACAGCACCTTACAAACAAACAAAGAAAGACAGACTACTGAAAAAAGCACCGTTGGAAGTGAGGCACAACGAAGGTGGGAGCTTTTTTGAGTGCAAGTGTGGGTTCCTATGTCTGCTCCACACCCGGGCAAACTGCTGGTGGAAATGGCTTCCGCCGCCGCCAGCGCCTCCGTCCAGCCCGCCGGAGGCCGCAGTCTCGCTTCAGGCTTTTGCTGACGTGGAAACAGGCACCAACATGTACAGCTGCGTGTGCCGCTGGGATTAAATGGGTGTTTTCCGGACATCTTCAATCTCCGGATCGAATTGGGCCTGTAAGCTCAAGGGCGGGAGCGAGAAGCCCCGACGGGCCGCGACCTCCGTCCACCAACTCAGCGGAGAAGCGTTGCCTCGCCGCAGAGGGCCTGCGAGGGATCCCCAGCAGCAGTTTGACTGAGGTGTGGTCTGCTCAAACATGAACATTAGGCACCTTATTTACTCACATAATAGTAACATGCAAAACCTCATTGTAGAAAACATAAAATTCATCTTTATATCCTCAATTTACAAGCTATGACTGCACAGACAGAACGAGGCGACAGGGGGCAGGGAGACCAGAGGAGGAGGAGGAAACGTGGCCTTCGAAAGCAGGTCTGTGCAGTCAAAGGCCAAAGTGTTGGGACAAATGTTTCTGCGTGTGTTTAGTGTGTCGCACAAAGGGAAAACACTTGTGTCTCAGTACTTGTGCTTCTGACTGCAGAGGGTCGGGTTCTAGCTTCCTAGTTCTGGATGAGTTGGTGGGACGGGATGGGCGGAGGGAGGCGGGGTCATGAGAAGCAGCAGTAGCAACAATATAAGCAGTAGCAGCAACAGCAATAGCAGCAGCGATGTAGTAACACACAGACACACACACACACACACCAACCACCAAAGAGTCGATTCATTTGTCCCTCCTCCATCTCCACAGGTGTAAAGTCCCGTCTGAGCTCTCGAGTGCACGAGGTCTGCTCTTCTACAGGAGCATTTCCAGGCTCACAGTCAAATGAATTCCCCTTAAGGCCTCGTTGATGATGCCTTCGAATGCTCATTAATGTTGCATTAAGGAACTTCACACCGGCTGCAACTGGTGCCAGCAGAGAAGAAGTGGGAATGTCTCTAAAGATCAGGGCCGATCATGAAGAAAGGATTTACAAATAACGGATCAACTCTGGAATGCCATGGCAGATTAGAATAGATGAGTGGGTTATTCGATTTGCTTTCTAGTGCCATCAATCCCCCCAAAAGACGCAAACCAGCTGTGACTGATCCTACTAACAGCTGCAGGTCTGCGTTAGAATGTTGGTTCTCTTAAACTACACATTTCAAATTTTGCCCAATTTGACACAGTCATCTTTTTAATGACTTTTCCTTTTAAGTCTCAAATCAATGTTAACATGTTTTATGTTTGGATGTTTTTAATGGTTTTATGTAAAGCACTTTGAATTGCCTCGCTGTAGGAATGTGCTGTACAAATAAAATTGCCTTGCCTCACTAACAAGTAGGGTGTCTATCGAAGACGCAAAACAAACAAGTGGACGATGAGTCATGACTTTGTTTGTGTGACTCTGCAGGTTTTTGGTCTTCTTGTGGGGTTTGTTGACAGTCAGAAACGCATGGAAGAGGCAGATCTTCTCACCTCGGCAAACACAAAGCAGACGGCCAAAGATTTAGAACGGGACATTTGATTTTCTCTCTCTTCCATAAGCTGCAAATTTTTGCAGCAATTAACAGTGTCTTTATTTCCTTTGTTTGAGGGACAGATAGCACTAAGACCACTGGACTCTGCACTGCAACAAGAACCATCATGCATCTCTGGACCGGACGAAAGCAGAAGTAATGATGTGAAAATATGGGCGGTTCCCAAATCCCAAAATATGTCCCTTCAAAATCTATGCTCGCACCACGCCAGTTGTTTAATGAAACACACACACACACACACACACACACACTGCTCCACCATTAAGTGCTTTTAACCAGCTTAAACCAACACACACACACACACACACACACACGGGCTCCACTCCAGTCTCCACTTTAAAGGGCTTGGCGGACTCTGCATCACTTCAACGTAACAGAAGAGGTGGAGGTGTGTGTGGGGGGGGTGGGGGGTGGGGGCAATGTCAACAAGCTTGAGATAGGGGTGGGAGGTCGGAAGGGGGCTCTGGTGTTGAATGCAAACCAGATGAGGGAGGACAGAGAAAAGCGCAAGAGCAGAGGAGAAGGCAACAATGAGCAGAGAAAAAGGCTCAATTTTTAAAAATGTTTTTTTTCTTCTACAAAAAAAAGGACCCATCATCCCATAGCCCTTTGACCACAGACACGTTCTCCTTTAGAGCCTGATTGCTGTGCTGGCGTACGCAGACCGGAGTCTTCACTTTGTGTCGTCCCGTTTCATTTTTTGTGTCTGCGCGCGTGTGTGTGTGTGTGTGTGTGTGTGTGTGTGTGTGTGTTTGTTAGAAACATGGAGACGGAGCGCCGAGCCGCCTTTTTTCTGTTTTTTTTTGGGTTTTCATTGAAAGCGGGAGGGGGAGATTTATTTCTAGGTGCGAGGCGCGCCAAATACCACTTTGCTATTTCCAAAAAACCTTTTAAAGAAAATTTAGGGGGGGGGGGGGGGGCGTCAAGGTGCTCAGATGTCGGGGAACCGAGTAGAAGAAGTGAAAGGCCGGCTGCGACCGCGCTGCTGGGTGGACACTCGGATATGTTGTTTCGCTTTTATTATTGTAACAGAATTATGTTTTTCTTGGTTAAAAGCAGCTCTCTTTCTTTGTAAGACCTTAGGAACTGCGGTGGCCAGGGAAAAGCCATCTCCAAATCTTAAGATAAGAAAGAAAGAAAGGAAGTGGGAGATATTCTGTCCACCCGGCGGGCGGTCAGCAGGCCGAGTCCTTCCTGGAACGTGAGCAGTACAAGGCCGTCCTCTTACTAAGTCTCACTATGCCTGTGGTGCAAGCAGACAGACGTTTTGTAGGCTGGGTACAAGTATTTCTTGCGGTTTTCAAAAAACGGAAGGACATAAGCTTATAATACTTTTTTTTGTTGTTGTTTTTTTTTGCTCCCAACTGCTTAAAAGACTTTGGAGGCAAAGTTCAGTCAGTCAATCCATTCATGAAAAGGACAAAAGAAAAAAACAGAAAAAAGGACACATCATTATCATCACATCATTTCCCTCTTCTCTTTTACAACAAAAAGATAGTGCAACTTTTAGATAACTTTTCTTTTCTGTGTGTTTTGAATGTTAGAACGAGTCTTCCCCCCCCCCCCCCCACACACACACACTCTGCTTCCTTGTGAACCTTGGCACTAAGATTTGGGTTAGTGAGTCTCTTGTTTTGTCATGTTCTCTGTAAGTCCTTGATTCTCAGTTCTCGCTTTGTGCACAGATCCCGGTCCCAAAAAAAAAAAAAAAAAAAAAAGATTAAAAACTCATGCTTAGTTCCACGGGTACAGAGCCGTCCCCCGATAGGACAAAGGAAAAAGAAGCTCAAACTGTTACATTTGTGCCAGTCGTTTCTTTCTCTCCGTGCAGTGGACACATCCGGCCCCGCTGTTTGAATGCCTCACATCAGGAAGGACACTGAAAGGAAACCAACTCCTAGTTCCTTTTTCCTTGTTTTGTTGGTATTGAATTGTGCATGGGAGTGTGGACAGATGACGTGAGAGAGACAGAGACAGAGACAGAGACCACTGCTTACAGGTGATCTGGAGGAAAGAGGAGAGGCAGCTTTCTGCCCCGACTCTTGTCTTCACACCAGGTCCTCCGGTCGGCCGTCCTTGGCAGGTACTATTGTGCTTTCTGATTGGCTCTGCTGCTGAGATCGTCCTGCTCCCCGGCCCCCCCGCCCTCTGGTTATTGCTGTGCTGGTGTAGGTAGAACGCCGAGCCGGGGTAATGGCCCATCACCTCGCTGTAGGCTGGCGGGGGCCCCTCCATGCGCCCGTGGCTGCTGGAGTTGGTCGCGCTGATGCCCGAGTTACTGCTCGGCGGCCTCGGGCCGCCTCCCACCATCCCCCCCCCTCCTAACCCCACCCCTGACAGGCCGCCGCCTCCCCCCATGTCGATCAAGTCACTGTCGTAGATTGTCCGGTTGGGCGGCGCCCTCACCGACTCGCGGTTGAGCTCCATCTGCTGCTCGGGGTCGCGGAGCTGCAGGGTGCAGGGCCCCTGATAGGGCGGGGGCTCCTCGCCGTCCGACAGCGAGATTGTGGGCGGCAGGTCGATCTGGTGCTGCAGGTAGGGGTAGGTGGGCTGGAAGCGACTGAAGCGGTCGCGCTGCATGAAGGAGGGAGCAGTGAAGCGATCCCTGGCCTGGGGGGCGTACAACACCTGAGGGGAGGGGAGACAGAGAGACACCACGATGTATTCATATAAAACTTGTGTTCAATAGACATCATAACATATTACATTACAAAAACTGTTCAATCTGTACAACTAAAAAATTGTAAATGCACTGTACTTGTTTAGCGCTTTTCTAGTCTTACTCAAAGCGCTTTAACACTACATGACATCATTCACCCATTCACACCCATTCATACACGGATGACAGGAGAACCACACACAGTGACACCTGCCCATCAGTCACTACCATCCACACTGTAGTCGCAGCCACAGGAGCCATGTTGGGGTTAAGTGTCTTGCCCAAGGACACATCGACACCCCACTCACCCACAACAACATTTCTAAACGTCATATAATCAGAAATGTAAACCCATACATTTATACACACACACACACATTTATATGCCTGAAACGAGTGGCTGTTTCAGTGGCTGTTGCCTTTCTATCATCTCCACACGCTGTGCCCTTTCTCTTCTGACCTCCCACAACAACGAGGCCTTTTCGTCTACACAACTGCCGCTCTTTTTCGGCCCATTCTGTGTTGACCCTGAAGATGGTTGTGCGTTGTAGGCGTTGAGTTTGATCACCAATTTGTTTTAACAAGCAATTGAAAAGGTGTACCTACTAAAGTGTCCAATGCGCGCACACGCACGCACACTTCAATATAAGGACTTAATTCCAAGGACTGATGATCCTGTTGCAGCTACAGCTCTCACCTATGAATCCCCAAATCATTATTAAAGACATGACCATGTAATTACAGTGGGAAGGGAAAAAAGGACCAGACCACATCCAACTTATGGGTTCATCCTCCGGCCTGTCAGATGTTCACCTCAATTAGCTCCACAGACTGATTCATCACAGCTCTACTGTGGCACAAGTCATTATCAGAGCGAGCTCATTTCAATTAGTAACTGTGCCTCTAATACTCAACCCCCACTGACAAGGCAGCGTGGATGAAGAGACTAGACTGGAGGGGAAAAAATGTGTGTGGAGGGGGGGGGGGGGGGTAAAGGATCAGGGCAATTGAAATACAGTCAGAGAGAGAGAGAGAAAGGGCTGTGGAAGATAAAGAGGGGGAAAGATAAAGACAGAAATAAAAAGTATGAAGCCAGACTGACACACGGACAGGCGGAGGGAGGGGGGGAGGGAGAAAGGTGCATCGCTGATAGAGGGAGCAGAGGCAGTGGAGCAGGGCAGCTCTCAGACGGCTGTCTAGACAGTGTCAAGGGAGGTGTTGCTGATTAATGACGCACCAAAAACAACCCCTCCCCACCTCTGGCCCCCACCCACCTTCTATCAGCCACCCACCTTCTATCAGCCACCCACACTCATTGGCTGTGTGTCCCTCTGTGTGTGTCGGGGACAGCGTCTCCTCCCCCCTCGCCTCCCCCCTATCCTGGGCTTACAGAAAAGGCTTTTAGCTGGCAGCGGGCTGAACCAAAGGGAATTTGGTGGTTGTTTTGGTGCAAACTGGCCCTTTCATGCCCACCCAGACTTCCCACGGACTGGGCCGGAGAACGTCTCATGCGCCGTTATCAATGATACGGTCCATCGTGTTCTTCGAGCGTTTCTGGTTGTCCCAGTGCACTTCCTCCCGCCGGAGGAAGTAAGCTCCCCCATCTGGCGTGCACGCCGCCAAACAAACAGATCCCCGCCATTTGTTTGCGGTTCTGTGCTCGCGGGTCTTTGAGGACACGCCAAATGGGATTCCGTTTGGAGCGCAGCGCCACCTGTACCCGGTGCGACTTACGAGCTCCAATTCCTGGATGATCAAATATTTACAAGCAAGCAAAATGCAAATGTCAGAATCTTTGTCCCAGGATGGGATTCCTGGAACCACGTAACAATTAGACGTGGGCTCAGCCGACTGGGAACAACAAAGAGGAGCTGGGAAGAGACCAGTAGAGATCCCTCTCTCTTTTTTATTCATCTGCGTTAGTCTGTACAAAGTAATATAGAAATATGTTTATGGTAACATCAGCATGTAAATCGCAGCAGGCTTCAATGACTTTTTGGCCCTGAAATAATTACCTTGATTATTTACGCAGACCAGGTCCGTCAGTCTGAATCTGAATATCTTGCCAACTTTACCGAACTATGGAGGAGCCTGCGCATATCTTGTATATCACATTCACTACAACCTCATTATTTATTTTTTTCAAAAAGTTGATCCGTATTGAAAGTTGGCAAGATATTCACAGATTCAGACCTTTTTCCCGGTATTTTACAAATAGGGACCGGTCTGCGAGCTGGACGCATTGCTCTTAATGTGCCGGTAATGATGGTAAATGATGGTTGTAGCTGGTTGTCATCTACGGTCCACTACGATTACCGAAGGGGGGCGATTGTTTTTTGGCGTTTTATCTCATAATTTCGACTTTCTATCCCCTTTCTTTAGTGTGGAAATGGGCTTCTATAGTTGTGCGCGCATCAACCTGATTTGCGCTCTCGAATTTTGACAGTGATTTGCCGCCATATTATGCTGCTGCGACAATCTCACGTTATCTAGATATATTGTGTAAGTGTGGATGTAGCGCTGCTCAGAGTGAACGAGGCTGTGCTGGTGGGGCTTAGATGGGGGAAGAGGAGGAAGGATGGCAGCGGTCTTACCTCGGAGGCACCTTGTCGAGAGCTGCTGTCTGAAGGCCACAGACACCCGTCCTACACACCGAGACAGACGAGACAAAGAAAAGAAAGCGTAAGGATTTAAAGTCTAACATGAGTCATTACTAGCGTTTGAAGATGTGTTACACTCGTGTTGGATTCATTTCACTGATTGAGCTTTACAAAACAAACGTCATCAGCGCTTTCTTTATTTTATGTCTGAGACGTTTCTTTTTTTACGTGTCATCTTTAAACTGAAGACAGAAACTTTCTTCTTTAAAATAAAAAAGAACAACCTAAAGAGTAACAATTTGAGGAGGATACAAAATGCTGAAAAAGGCCGGATCCCCCTGGCTGGGAGCTGGTGCAACAAAAGGCAGCGGACAGCTCTCGTCTTTGGGGGGGGGGGAAAATTTCGGGATGAAAGACACTATCAAATAATTGCGGTTTCCCTTCGTCTGCATTTGAATGTTTTCTAAAAAAGGGGCACAATGAAGAGAAAAGGGGGGGGGGGGGGGGGGCAACATGCATGGGTCTTAGCCACTTTCTCGTGTTGCATTGGGGGCTTTTCTTTGCCACAAGTGTGCCTCTGTTTGCATAATCCTTGTTTTCATCGGAGCACTGACTGAGACGAGGGTTTGTTAGCACAGTAACGGGAGACTAAGCGATCATCCGCTTTTTCAGATACCGGTTAAATGACTTTGCATCACAGATCGCATTCTGTATCTTTGTGCGATTTGGCAACCTGCGTTTGTACGTGTTTGCGTATGTTTGTTTGAGTGTCAGCACGTCAGTGGGGTGGAGGGGGGGGGGGGTTGCAGAGTCGCTGCAGTCTAGACAGCAGTGTTAGTGAATTAAACATCAAGGCCCGACAGAGTCTGGCTCTGAAGAAGTCAATTCAGCAAGTTCACCTGAACGGAAACTGGAACTGGAACAAAGAGTGTTAGGCGGTGGTGGGGTGTTGGGGGGGGGGCGTCATCTTCGTGGCGAAAACCACCAGAGACAAGCCCAAACCAACCGTATTTCTATTCAGGTCGTTATCATTAGTCTGCCAGGGACTGACCTGCTGCAGGGCATGCTCGTGCCTGCGGGCCTGGCTCTGACGCGTGATGAAGGACCAGGAGGAGAGCTTGTAGTGGTTGAGCAGGCAGATGATCACCACCACCATCACAGTCATCACCACGATGATGATGACAATCTGAACGAACTCCAGTTCAGCTGCACAAACACACAAAACAAGGGAGCGGGGGTTAGCACCGGACACTGAGAAGAGGAGATGTGGGCACAAGAAAACGGACATGTCAAGAGATCATTGTGAAATTGTTTTGCGAAGCTATTACACGTCCATAATTAGACATTTGATTGGTATTAAAAGGAACTACACTCGCTGGTTTAAATCCAATTTATTGGATCGATCCCAGTTTGTGCTTTTACATGGTGAATCCTCGATGACCACCAATGTTGGTCACGGAGTCCCACAAGGTTCTGTGCTTGGACCGATTTTATTTACCCTCTATATGCTTCCTTTGGGCGACGTTTTCAGCAAAAAACACAGCATAAACTTCCATTGTTATGCAGACGATACTCAACTGTATGTCGATCAAGCCAGAAGAGACAGACCAGCTAGTTAGACTTCAAGAATGTCTTTGAGATATCAAAACTTGGATGACCTGCAACTTCCTGATGAAACTTGATAGGCCCAGAGCGCCTTCGAAGTCAGCTGTCAAGTGATAGTTTCTATGGATGGAATTGCTCTGGTGTCAAGCAGCATTGTAAAGAATCCTCGAGTTCTCTTCAACCAATATATGTTTTCATCTACGTAATATATCGAAAAACAAGAGAACGCAGAAAGATTTGTTCATGCGCTTCTTACTTCTAGACTGGACTACTGTAATTCTTTGTTATCAGGCTGCTCTTGTAAATCTCTTAAGCCTCTCCAGTTGATTCAGAATGCTGCAGCACGTGTATTAACAAGAACTAAGAAAAGGGATCATATTACTCCTGTATTAACTTCTCTGCACTGGCTCCCTGTTAAATCAAGAATAGATTTTAAGGTACTTCTCCTCACCTACAAGGCACTTGCTGGTGAGGCACCATCTTATCTTAAAGAGCTTGTAACGCCAGAGCCTTCAGTTATCAAGCTCCTCTTTTGTGGAACCACATTCCACTTTCAGTCCTGGGGGGCAGATTCGGTCAGCTCTTTTAAGATAAAGCTTAAAACTTTCCTCTTTGATAATTCTAATAGTTAGGGCTGGCTCAGGTTAGCCTGGACCAGCCCTTAGTTATGCTTCTATTAGGCCTAGACTGTCGGGGTCTGTCTTTTGTGCTTTCTCGCCTCGCTGGTCTTTGTAGATCGTAGATCCGTCCGGACCCTGGTCCGGACTCCTGCCTGGCCTCACAGACACCTACCACTTCTAAGACCATTGATTTTCCCATTTCTATTGCTGTAAACATTAATGCCCATCACTAACTTGGTTTCTTCACAGAGTATTTGTGCTTTCTCTCCTCACAGGTTTTCATGATTCTATCTGGATCCTGTTCCTTTCTCCTACCGTGGCCCCGCTGACACCTTCTGCTATCATCATCATCATCGTCATCATTATTATTATTATTTTAAATATTAATCATTTTTACGGTCATCGTAAACCAACATGACCTTTTCCTAAAGCCATTGTGCTTTCCCTCCCCACAGGCTTCTGTGGATGGTGGTTCTATGTGATGGTGGTTGTTCCTGCAGTGGTCCTGCCGTACACCTGGCTTACTACTCACAATTATTTGAATAATTTCTGTTATGGGAATTGAATGTGAGAATCTGACGTTCTCACTAAGGTTTCGTCCCTTTTTTCCCCATGGAATGGTTTTCATTTTTTGGGGAGTTTTTCCTGTGTCGATGTGTTTCAGGACAGAGGATGTCGCATGTGTACAGAGTGGAAAGCCCTCTGAGGCAAATTTGTAATTTGCAATTTTGGGTTATACAAAATAAAATGAAAATGAAGTAAAACCAGAGAGGTCGTTTTTTTAACTTGGGAGACAATACCTTTAAATGATTCCAAAAATAAAAGTCAAGATAAGATATTCTTACACGCTTGTCACTCGTCACAGTGGGCATGCACGCAAAGAATATACATGATACGTACACTCGTGCATCTAATTCTCACGCTGAGAGTGACGCTCATTCAAAAATTAAAAAAGGTTTGAAATAATAATAACACATGAGGTCAAACCAGAAATAAACCATTGAGTCACAACATATTGGTCCACAATAACTTCATATAATTTATACAGCTACTTGATGAAATGTAGCCATATAAATGAAATGATTCAGCGTCCAGAATCTTGGCAGATATTAAGACTGAAGATGGCGAAGTTACTGAAGAAGAAGACTTTCCCATACATTGACTGACTGCGCATTAGTGACTGGCTGTGTGAGCGCGTGTCCGCCAGCAGAGGGCGTCACAGGTCAAACTTCCTGTTGCGTGAGCCTGTGGAGTTCTCCAGAGAAGAAGCTTCAGATCACAGAAGAAAAAGATGAGTGCCGAGACTCTGGTGTCTGTTCCAGCATACAGTGGTGTCTTTGTAGACATGCTGAATAACTGAAGTCTTTTTGTTGGACACACACACACACACACACACACACACACACACACACACACACACACACACACAAAAGTGCACCAGCGTCAGCGCTGATGACCTCCCAGATCTGGGCCCTGCTGAGAGGCCACGATCGCTGCCTCAGCCTCACGGGCACGTTGGCCTCTAGTCTTTTGTTTCCTCCGCTTTGTCTTTTGCTCTTTTTTTGCCTTTATTGCCACTTACCCCTCCATCTTTTCCTCCAAGCAAAACCCTCCACCCTCGTCTTTCTCTCCCACATGTACTCTCCAAACTCTTCCAGCTTTTATTAAATCTTGCATTCCTCTCTCGCCCACCATATTTCTGTCTGTGTTTCTTCTATTTCACCATTGTTTCCCACTTCCTCCCCCCCTTCAGTCTGAGACTCTTGTCCAGGTTGTTTCTGAGCAGAACTCTTGAACTTGTCTGGTCTTGGCACCCAGTCTGACCTCTGACTCACATCTTACTCACTGCTGGGACACTCATTTATCGTGTTGATAGAGTCTGTCCTTATGTGTTCAAGCAAGCTCTGTGAGACCAGCGACAGACACAATGCAAACCTCTGCATATTTTGTAATGCAACTCTAAAGACAAGAGGAGCGGCAGGTAACTACAAGAAAAGGATATGTAGGAAAACCCCACCGCAAAGGAAAGAAAAAATAACAAGGAAAAGAGAAAAAGGAAATAAGCAGGACGCACATGTTTTCCCAGCCTGTGTAGTCGTGCCCAGTTTATTCATCAGCAGCAGGGTGGGTAAGGCGGAAACATAAACCCACCCAAACCTGCCTCTGCCCACACCACAGCAGCCACAGGGGGGGTGGGGGGGGGTTCGGGTAGGACAGAGAGGAAGACAGCCAGCTCGCACATACCACATGAGAGGGGGGGGGATCATACGCCACTGGATGCTGTGAAGCCAGCAAAACCAACCGACCTTAACCACCGAGGAGGGGCTGAGTGCCAAACAACGACTCTCGTTCCTCTGGAGATGATGAGACGATGAGTGAGGTGGTGGTGCGTTAGGTAAACAACAAATGACTGGAACCCGTCTGATTAATAAAACACCACCAAAAGAAAGAAAAAGTGTCCAGACATTTAAAACAAAGTTTCTTTTACAAGCTGTTCATCACAAGATGACCTACCTAATGTGAAACAGGCAGGAGATCTGCACCAAGCTCGTAGAGCCAAATTCACCTAACAAGCCCGCGAAAGGATGAAGTACACATTTATTTTAGAGGCGAGCGCTCTGAATACCCGACATGACCCTTTACCCACTGGCTTACTTCAGGGCAGGTGAAAAAAACTCATCCCGCTGGTTTCCAATCATTATGTCCATGGAACCATTAAAGCCAAGCAATGCAGTCTCGTGACTCCTTCTCAGTGGTCTTGTGAAGGTAGAACTCAAGTATTGAGTATTAAAAGTTCTGACCCATTTGAGAATCTGGTTGAGAACCTTCACAAATGTTCTTCTCTGTTCTGTAGACCGAGGATCTAAAGTAAATTCCTGAGGAAAATACAGCTACACAATGCTACGGCAATCCAACCGAGCGTTGTCGATATACAAGTATTATCCTCTGGGGACCATAAATGTCTGTACACGTTCCCACTGCAATAGTTGTTGCTATTTCACTCTGGCCAAAGAGACGGATAGAGTTACATGCTGCGAGTGCCGCTAAAGGCAATTAGTGAAAGTCAGAGAGAACAAACCCAATTGTAATTATTTTCTATCTAATGTGGCCTCTCAGCCCGATGATGCTGTTGGCTGTTTGAGCTCCCTGCACTCAGCCCAAAGTGCACTGAGGGAAGCTCTCGTTCAGAGAACAATCTTCTGGGAAAGCTGGTCAACCCGGCCCTTCTGGAAGGCTATCGGATAGATATCACACACGTCGCATTCAAATCAGGCTCCACGCTGACGTTTTTTACTCCTCAAGGAAAATAAAAGCAATCGCGGCTAACGGCCAATCCCCAGAACATCGAGGAGGAAGGAAGCCCGGGGAGGAGGAGTTGAGAAGGGAGGAAGGATGTGTGGGAAGGAGGAGAGGCCTATCCTGCCAGTATGCACCTGGTTCCGCCTCTGCACAGGCCAGAGATCCGAGTGTGTGCGTGCGTGCTGGCAGTCTGCATGACCAGCACTGGTCTGATGTTATTACAACACTAATCCACTTGTCAAAACAATATCAGCCCGGCGTCTGCAGCGCCCCTATTCCGTCGGCAGGCTGAATAATTTTGTGTTGCAAGCCGCCCGCCCCACGGCTTAATTTTTCTGCTGTGGTGAAGAGAGACAGAGAGCGATAGAGAGAGAGAGAGAGAGGCCATTGAGTTTGTTTGAACCATGCAAACGTAAGCGGTCAGACCACACTGCTACCCTTTCAAACATCTGTAGACATTTACTGAAGCATCACTTATCTTTTCAGGTTGTCAGAGTTTGCAGCAGCTGCAGCACTTTTTCAAGAAGAAAAAAGGTTTAAATAGATTCGGAGGACCAACTACCTGAGGTCAGTTGTTGTATATCACAAGCTACTGAAAGCTATTTCATCCAGTTTTCTTTCAGGCTAAATAATAAAGTGCACATGTACACACGACGCAGAGTACATGTCTATACGTCTGGT